TTAACAACCCATTCCTCTCTACATCCTGAATTTTCTGCCTGACTCACTGATCACTTTTCTCAAATACAAACTCCTTCATAAAAAAAATCAGTTGTTCAGACTTCTTGTCATGCATCATAATGCATCAACTTCTTTCAGTGTTTTCAAAGGCTGTTGTTGTGATTTGGTGCTATTTAAATAAATTGAATTGAAAGACTAGGAAGCATCGTTCTTTAATAGAGTGCAGAAATTGGACAGTAGTTTTTTGTGTGTTTGTTTCAAGTACGGAGGTCTGTATGGGCCATAAAGGGCAGTTGAAAAAACAAAACAAACAACAACACTAACTTATTAATTTTGTCAGCTCATTCAAATGTTAAATGACTTCATTGAAACACATCATGAAACTGCCATCATGAGAGGTGCTTAAACGGATCTGTATGTACCAATTATATATATGAAAATTGCTTTGAACAACAAAGATAGCAGAAGTGCCCAGGCTGAAACTGAAAATACACGAGAAAAAACTGACACTGAAAAAAGTTTCCCATGACTCAACCCTAAGCAACATATGGACAAACATAGGTTACACACAACCGAGATGAATGGCAGATTATAGGGGGCAAGAAAACTGCAGCTACGTGTCAGTTTTCTCTGGCTGGTTTTAACCAGCACACCGAGAAAATCCCCCGTCTGTGGCTTCAGCTGACGGGACACATCAGCCAGCTACAATCTTACAACGTCTGGAGCCCCGCCGTTATTAACAGACACTTTGAAGCTATTAGATGTTTCAGCGGATCCCGCAGGAAACCGTGACAAAACGTGAAAAGACAACTTGAGGACAGGAGTTTCTCAACTTAGTTTATACGCTAGTCTGAGAAGCATTGATTAAACTGGTTTAATCTGCGCTACTGCTCAACACAAAGTGGACAGTGTTTACAGACACAACGAACTTTGTTCATATAAGTAACCAGTTGCTTTAAAGTAAATATAAGTTAGCTGTTGGCTAGCATAGCCGTTAGCTGAGAAACTAAACATCTGGTGTCGTTACAGCTCCCACGCTACTAAAATGCAGTATTTCCTAGGCAATTCGTCCACAAGAAAATGTGACTCAAACCAGTCAGTGGATTTTAAATTTAACTCAATTCCAATAAACTTTGAATTTCTAAGCAAATAGTTTCCAGCTAACTATCAAGATAGCGACCATGCTAATGTTTCCTTCTGCTTACTAGCAGGCTAGCAGATTTAATGGTGAATCGCCTAAGATAGTTATTTAAACTTGTCAGCACCACATTGTCAACAGATGCATTCAACAGATAGTATTATTTGTAACGTCAAATAAGATCACTTAAGGCTATATGAGTTTTATGAGCCTTTATTAGCCCTTGGGTCCCTGAGCTAACTAGCTGCCTCCCTACACTCACGCAGTGTGCACACATTTTCACGTTAGGCTCTTTACCATCTTCACGATTCCTCTTTGCAGAGGAGGAGCCGAAGCAGAGGCTGTCTGAGCTGGTCCCGAAACAGATGCCATGTCCACCGGTTTGAGATTCAACGCCGTTAACGGGTAACCAGGCAAGTGAGCTGGGACTCTGAGGTGAATGACTGTTCTAATGAAAGCCAAGAGAAAAAGGCTGAACACCGATCAACACACACGTTATACCGGAAACACACTTTGCCACACACGTGAAAATCCTTCCGGGTCTGGAGACCAGCGTCAATAGGAGTTAATGGATATGCTTTTTGACCGCGTAAGCGACTTGAAATAAAGACTTCCGGTGCAAGAGGTACGACACGTCAGCACAGTGTTACCCCAGTTAACGCTGCCTTCAAGCCGTGTCGGAAAAACGTAAATTTCGTCACACACCCCCAAAGCGACAAATAAAATACATTAAAGGTTGGTCGATGGAAACAAAGAATATGTATTATAAACAATAATAACAGTGAAATAACGCAGGTATATTCACAAATTTTAGCTTTAGAGAGGCAAAACTGAGATGGTTTGGACATTTGCAGAGGAAGGATAGAGGATATACTGGAGATATTGAATATGAAGCTGACAGGCAGGAGGAACAGAGGAAAACCAAAGAAAAGGTTTGTGGATGTCGTGAAGGACATGCTTAGTCTTGGTGTGATAGTGGTCTGTGTAAGTGATATTTCAAATAAAAGGCCAAACTGCCTGTATTGATTCTCCAGTTTAATCATACTGGAAGAAACCATCAGAATATCTGAATACATCACATCCTTCAATTACATCAATGAATAAACACAATCTCTCAGAAATTCCTTGTACTGATTTGCAGTAAGCAAAGAAGTGGAATCAAACTATGCTGCTAAAATGTCTCCAACAGAATGCCAAGCATAAAGGTTACGTTTTTTTCACTTCGGTTTGTCACCTGTGTTCTGTATATGAGCAGTGTGATATAGGCAGTTATGAAATTACATACTTTAATGACTGATTATGCAGATCTAGAGAGTGCGTTTCCATTTGTAAACACTCTTCATTTTCATCACTATCATGATAGTTTTGAGCTTTAACTGTTTGAACTGTTCTTTTTTCAGAGGGGAATGATTGTACAGCAAACATGTTTTATGACTAAAATAAGAATTGGGTGTTTCGTTTAGACATTGGAAAGGTTTCTTGGAGCTAACTCTAAACAACTGTAGATTTGAAGATCATCAGTTCAAACAGCTGTACATAAGTACAAGTTAGTTGGTTGTTTCACCACTTTGTCAAGGTCTGGAGGAAGACCTGGACTCTCACCTTTAGATGGAAGGGCATTTGTTAGGGTGTTTGGGAACATCCCACAAACCATCAGAGCTCAAGGCTGTCATGAACTGGAAACTGCTGGAACACTAGGGTCACTGTCCACACTGAAGCAAGTTTTCCATGGGCTGTATCGACCAAGAAAGGAGACCCTGGTCTAAAATCAACACCGCCAAGCTTGACTGAATGTTGCAGCTGCACATGTGGACAAGTCAAATGCCTTTTAGAGAAAAGTTTTACTGGTACTTTGCACAAAGTGGATGGAGTAATGAAGAAGGAGGACTACCTCCAGATTCTTTAACTTTACCTCAATTCAAAATCTAGATGGGTGAAACTTGAATACATTTGGGTGTTCCAACAACACATCAAAACTGGTTTTGAAATAAGTAATGCAGTCTAGCATTACGTTTCTGGAATGGATGTCCCAAAGCTCCAGCTTCACCACAACTGAAAATCTGTGCTTAAAAGTTAAGTCCATGTCAGGAAACCAACGAATTTGAATGAACTTGACCAATTTAGACAAGAAGGGTAGTCAAATATCCAGCCAGAATGTTGCCATTAGCTTGTTTGAGGTATGTACATATTTAAGCCTGCATGTATAATTTTACTGTAAAGAACTATATCTGTACTGTGGATTAGTGAAGATCTAAAATATAGTCAAACTTGTACACCACATTCTTGCTTTCTAAAGTTAAAGATGTAAGCTGAGCAATCATTTCATGCTGGAAAAAAGCAGTTCAAGGAAACCATTTAAAGCCCAGAATTACCATGACATTCATGCTCACGATGAGTGCGGGTGACCACAGCTGTATTTTCCCTCTAAGTAACATGAATACTGGGCTATGCTGATGCATTGGTGTATATGTAGACTGAGTTATACTGACATGACGTCCTTTTTAAATAAATAAATAAAGGAGTATTATTAGAAAAAAATACGGGGTAATTTAGAAATGATAATCTCCCCAACAGCGATGCTGACTCCATTATTTAAAATACTGTCAGCAGTCTGCAGGATGTGCAGCAGAGTAAAAAAGTGTCTTGAAGATAAGTTTGTAACAGTTTTCAAGGTATTGCTAGAAACTTGGACAATTACCCCATTATTCTCACTTTTCACTATAATTATAATTCATGCATTTATGTATATTTATATATTTCATGTAAAGGTTAATCTCTGTTATGGGCTTTTTAAAACTCTAGTTAGTATTCAAGTTGGCAGGACAGTCATCCTTCTCCATAGATAGATAGACTATAGTGGTCCAAAGTCACCATTGTTTATGATATTAATGTAAAATCCACATGAATGGGAGAAACTAATATTTCCTAACCTAACATTGCCTCAAAATAGGTCAGTGCTTACTTCCCCTGTCAGTAGTTTTAATGCTGTGTTTGATTCGTGTATATCTGATTTCAATTTGTATTCATCTTCTTGTATGTTGTGTGTACATATATACACATTTCACGTTCATTTTATGTCCTATAAATAGTATCACCAAGTCTTAAACCTGGTAGTCTTTACTGTTTTCACATGTTTGTATGTTCAGGTGAGTCAATCAGTGATTGCAAGGGAAGTTTTTACTACACTGAAAAAAAGGCCATGTTGGATTTACTTGATTCAATAGTGGACATTTGTTGCACACAAATGTTTTGCTTTGGCAGAAACTTAAACAACTGAGTTAAATCAACACAACTTTTTCATATTCAATAAACCTGTGCATTTTGTGTTC